ACAATTTAATATTACTAATTGAAGACAAAATTTTAATTAGAAAAAAGAGACAAAGGGTATGGGAACGAAAGGAAGTAAAGTAAGAAACGATACCTTGATGGGTTTAGTGGATGACTGGAGGAAAGTAGTGGATGACTGGAGGATATGCAAGAAATTTCTAGTGTCAAGGCTTTAGTTCAAGTCCTCTTGGGTGATATCATGGGAAAATTAAGCATGTAATTTTTATTATAAATTTTGTATTTAACTTAAAATTAATTGATAATAAGTAAACTAGTTTTTTTTGTATTTAACTCACATATTCTTTTGTTTTATACTTGATTGTGAGATTCTTTCACTCAACAAATACCATAATAAAAGAAAGGTAAAAGTGGCATTTTAAGCATTTTCTTTTAACAAAATTCTCAACTCTTAAAGTATTTCCTTTTTCTATTTTAAAAGAAAAAAGTTTTCCTATAATTTTCTTAATATTGAACTCATTTAATAACTTTTTCTATTAACTTCTTTTATATTAATTTTTTACCAAACACAATAAAATTAATAACCCAACAAAAATCCAACAAAATTTTATTATAAAACTTATGAACTTTTTGTACAATACTTTTGACTTTTTTATATAATACTTTCCTAATTACATTTCTAGTAAAAACTTTTCTAATAGAGTAGTTCTCTAACCAAAAAGACCCTAAAAGAATATATATACTTTTTTATAAAAAATATATATATACTTGTAATTCATTTTGGTTTAATACCCAATTTGGTCCCTAAACTTTCTTTTTGGAACTTAGTTCATCCTTTAACTTCAGAAGGTACTCAAATCGTCCTTAAACTTTATTTTTCCAGAACTCAAATGATCCTTCCATCATGGAACTGCTTACTTGGCACGTTAAGTCTCCACCAATTACTCTTTCAATTTTTACAAGCTTATGTGGACAATACACCTCACCCAATTGATGACATGGCAATCTCCACCCTTCTAAATAAAATAAAACAATAAAAAAATGGGCCACATTGTCTCCGTTTGTCGATGCAGAATAGACCTCCTTCTAGATTCACTCACTTTCCCTTTCCCCTTTCTGCTTCGAAACCCCTTTCTAGAAAATGAGAAAGCAATCGACGATGCTTTCAGATCAATCTCCGAACCCTTGATTCCTTCTTCTTCGACCCCTCAATCCTCTGCAACTCTTGATTCTTTCTTCTCCAAACCCTTGATTCCTTCTTCTTCGACCCCTTAAATCCTTTGCAACTCTTGATTCCTTATTCTTCGAATCCTAAATCCTCTACCCATTGTGATTCCTTCTTTTTCGAACCCCAAATCATCTACATTTGTTATTCATTCTTCTTCCCTTGAACCCTAAATCCTCTGCTATTTGTTTTTTAGATTTTGGGTTTGTGAGAATCAAACCATGGAAACTAGTGCACGGAGTCTAGGTGCAGGTTCATTTGAGAGTGGAAGCATGGCCTATTTATATATGTTTTTTGCCCATTACTCATCCATCTATTTTATATGAAAAGATGTTTGGTTTTTTCCACAAAGCATTTTCTTAGTATCGGAAGGTGGATCTGAAAGCTAGTTATGTGTGGTACAATAGGACGAAGACGATTCCTTCTCCTAAATCACCACACCAACAACAATCCCTAACCATTTCTTTCCTCACTGACTCATGTGGGTTTTCGTTGGATAAAGCTATTTCAGCTTCTAAGTGGATTAACCTTAAGAACACCAAAGGATCAGATTCAGTTCTTAGGCTTCTAAAAAGTTATGGTTTCACTAAATCTGACATTGCTACTTTGATCTCTAAGCACCCACATTGTTTGATGGCTAACCCGAAGAAAACTCGTAGGCCCAAGATTGAGTTTTTTGAGTCTTTCGGCATTGTGGGAGAAAGCCTGACTAAGGTTCTCTGTTCAAAAGAACGTATTCTCAAGAGTAGTTTGAAGAAGCAAATAATACCTTTTGTTGATTTCTTTAAAGGGAATTTTGGGACAGGTGAGAACATTGTGTGTTCTTTGAAAAGTGTCAGTACATGGAGTATTTTTTGGTGTAATCCTGATAAGGCTATGGTTCCTAAAATATCCACATTGTGTGCACAAGGTGTGCCAGAAGGCCATGTTCAGACACTACTAGTGTGGCACCCTCGGGCATTTGCATGTAAAGTTGATTTCTTCGAAGAGATGGTTCATGAAGTTAAAGCAATGGGCTTGGAACCAACAAAAAAGTCCTTTATTTATGCTCTTCATCCAAAGACAGCTATGAGAAAGGAGACTTGGGAAAAAAAGGAGGAGCTTTTGATGAGCTATGGTTGGTTGGAGGAGCAATTTCAATCTGCATTTGTACTGCAACCAGTTTTCATGCTTACCTCAAAAAAAGAAGATCGAGAAAGTGATGGATTTCCTTTAAAACACTGTAGGTTTGAAGTCATCGGATGTAGCAAAGTGATGAATTTTCTTTTAATTGGTGGAAACTTAACGTGACAAGTAAGCAATTCCGTGACGGAAGGATCGTTTGAGTTTTGGAAAAATAAAGTTTAAAGATGATTTGAGTCCTTTCTGAAGTTAAAGGACAAACTAAGTTTCAAAAAGAAAGTTTAGGGACCAAATTGGTATTGAACCATTCATTTTTAAGATAATGATTGAGAGATAATTTTTTATGTAATTTTTTTATAAAAATTTAAGAAATATTTGATTATTAATTTTTTTTTATTCTATTAGAACTTGCAATGTTACATGCTTCTACTTAATTAATAACATATTAAATTATATATAAAAATTGTAGAAAGAAAAATTTATTCACGCATCATTACCCGTCCTTTCTACCCTTCCCCGAGGCGGTGAAGTTAATTTGATTGAAAGACTTTGTCAGGGGCGGTGGGCAACGCCTTTTTTTTTTTTTTTTGGGTAAATAGTCGTCGTCAACGCTTTTAATATGTATATCATTTATCTTCCAAAAAAACAATTATAATTGGTAAATAAAACATTTGATCTAACCAGTCATCATTTTCCTAATGCAATATATATGTCATCCCAAAATTAACAGCCCCTTTTCGGACAACCCCTTTTTATTTTTTTTTACAAGAACTTGCCTCATTTCTCTTTGTGGTTAGGTATTGAGCATCGACAACTTTCCCAAGTAATGGCGGATGACAGCACCTTCTCTACCCGCATCAGGAAGCGCGTAAAGTATTACTTCGGCGTCCTCAATGCTCTCTGCTTGCCGTCTGGTACTGTAACTTCTAATCCGATCGAATTAATGATGCTTTAATTTAAAGAAATGAAACTTGATGATATAAGTCTACTGATCTCAGTTATTTTCATACAATGTATTGGTTACAGCTTCGATTTTCAGCCGTTCTGTTGCAGAATATGCATTTTTAAATTATATTTTCATACTAATTCAAGAAAAGACGGAACGCAGCAAGGCTGCTGCTTTGATTTCAACTATCTTTGAGTGCGTTTCACCATTTCTGAACAGTTTCTTTGGACGCCCCAGTGATAGGGTCATGCCTGAGCTGATCACCGGCCTTATCACTGAAACAAGTTTCGTTACTGTAAGTTCATCTTTCCTTTTTCATGTTGTATTCAGTAAATTTTTAATTTGCAAGGTTTAAATTTAAGTTCTATTTAATATAATTATTGTTTTGAATTTTGCATTTTGGCTTTTTATAAATTTGGTAACTATAGGAAATTAAAATCAAAAATTAAAAATTTGTTTTAACACTTAAAACTAATTAATTGTTTAATAGTATTAAAACTATTTTGCAAAAAGAAGTGCAAGTAAATTAGTGCTTTATTTAGAGTTACAAAATTTATAAAAATCAAAAACAAAAACTCAAAACTACAACCATAAACTCCATTTAGAATAGTTGTAGTTTTGGGTTTTTGGTTTTTGTTTTTATAAATTTTACAACTAATAAAAATCAAAAATAAAAAATTGTTTAGAGCAAATTTTAACACTGATAACTAAAAATATTTCTTTGTTTAGTGGCATTCTTTCAATTCTGGCCTTTTCTTTTTCTTGATTTTCTTCCTAATTTTCTCCTAAAAATTCTCTCCTTTATGGCTAATTCAAACCTATTTGTTATGTCTTTAATTGCTTCGATTTCATTAACTTCTTCAAAAGCAGGATTTTGACTTATAATAGTATTAATTTCTTCTTTATTTAGACCAACAAACTAGTCATGAACTATCCCTTTAAAGGTAGCTTCAATAAATCTGACTACTTGTATGGCATTTCAGTTTTTGTTTGTCATGGCTATCCAAGTAACTTGAGCCCAGTTGCTAATGACCTTTTCTAAGTTTGTAATGCAATCTTGATCTAGCCAAATACCATTAGTACTAATTATTTATTTTTTTACTCTAACTGGAGTTTCAAGTTTAGATTGATTCCCAAATCTTCTACACCTTTTATCATATATTACTTCATGTGTTAGATTTCTATTCCTTCTATAGGTTTGGCCTATGCTGGATTCTACTTCAAGTTGCATTGAAAATTCTGTTAGGGTTATATGAGGATGTGTCTCATCCTTTTCTTCTTCGCTTTCCTCTTCAATTTCCTCCTTTTAAGTATTCATTTTTATATTTTGCTAATTGTTAGTAGTTATAGTAATATCTTTGCAGAGATTGTTTAATTCTTCTACATTTTCTTCTTCTAAAAATTTTTGTTCAAGTTCTTTCAACTTTTTTTCTTGGGTTTTTAACATGAAAAGTGTTATTCCTTTTCATTTACACTTTTCAGTGAAAATCTTTGGAATTATTTTAAATCCTTCATTTTTATCTCCAATATTTCACCTACTATAGATTGATATTATAGTATTTTACAAATCCTTGAGTTGTGTCTGGATCTTATAAAAATTTTTATATATATCACTTTCTAGTTGTAGAATTACTCTATTATACATGTTTAAGCTTTTATCGCAAATTTTTCAACAATCACTTTCAATATCTTAAGAATTTTTTCTATTTTAAGTTCCATATATTTAACTCTAGATATTAAAGTTTTTGAGTTTTTCATAGACTGTATTTTTTTTTGGCAAAACCATAAGTTAAGCCCTTGAACTAACCCCAGAATCGCTATTAAGCCCCTAAACTTTAATTGATGCATATAAGCCCTTGAACTCTGCGATCAAAGCAATTAAACCCCTCTTCTTACGCCAACTTAACTGCCGTTTGAGACTTGCTTGCGTGGCTTAACTGCCATTTAGGACACAGTCGTTTGGCTGCTTGGATGGCAAAATGTTGCCACGTCATGCTTATATGGCAAGGGATTTGACATTTGAATTAGATTTTTAACTTATTTGATCATTCAATT